GGTTGGTTGGGTTTTTGTTTTTGTTTGAGGGGGTTTGTTTGTTTTGGGTTTTTTTGGGTTTTTTTTGTTTATTTGTTTGTTTGGGGTTTTTTGTTTGTTCTTTTGTTAGCAATTGTTTTCCCTTCCCATTTCCAAAATTCACATCTGGCTGTTTTTACCTCCCTCTACATTTGTTGTAGCAGCTCTGGGCTTGTGCCCCAGTGCAGCAGAGGGGTAGAAAAGCCCTTTCCCCTTCAGAGAGGGTTCATCCCCTCCCATTACAGTCTCAGTTCTCGTGATGTGGTTTGGCTGATCACAGAGCCCTGAGCTGGCTTTACTGACCCACCAGACAGACTGCAGCCATCCCACAGATGATCCCCCCAKATTTTCTCATTACAACAGGAGTGAAAGCCTGGCAGGAACATGTTTGGACTTGGGGCAGGTAGGGGTACAAATTCAGGGAGGAGGGAGCAAAGAGTGCAGCTCCTTGTGCCCTGTCCCTTCCCTCCCACGGGGAGAGGAGCCCAGCTCCCTGGAACGACCTGTGCAAATGGGAGAGAGGAGGAAAATTGCAGCCCAAATWAAGGAAAATGACAGCTTCTTGCCCGCTATTTCCAGGGCCCAGGAAGAGCTGCCTGCGTTGGTTTAACTTTTGGCTGGTTTTCCTGGAATCCGCTCCCTTGCCCCTGGAGAAAATGGCAACTGCAAAAATGGAGCTGTGAGCAAYGGCAGCTCCTGTTCCACAACTGCACCTCGGGTCAGGGTGGATGGCTGAGAGCAGGGGGGTGCAACCACGTCCCCCAAATGCTTGAAATCCCTCTAGCTTGTGCCCACAGTGGTATGGAAAAGGATTTCTTTAGGGCTGCTTCCTATACTGACTCCTACACCTGCAATTTTGCTGAAAACAGGAGCACCAGGTCCAGTTTTCCAGGTGCAAATCACRGCAAACCTACTCAAAAATACACAGCCACGTGCACAGCAGGTGTGAACCCATGAGAAAACAGCCCCTGAACCTGTGTTCCCTTCGTCTCAGTAAATGTGCAGCCAGGCTTGCGGGTCTGTGCTGTGCAGCCTGTTCGTGCCTCATCTTGCATTTTGGGGAATAATCTCTGAAATGGAGTGGCCCTGATGGAGGAAGGCCAGAGGAGGCAATACCTGATGGAGGAAGGCCAGAGAAGGCAATACCTGATGGAGGAAGGCAGAGAAGGCAATACCTGATCCCTTTCCCGTGTTTGCCCGTTTCCCCCGATCCTGCATTCCTTGTCGCCAGCCGCTTCCCCCTCCTCGGAGCTGATCCCGTAGCAAAGTGACTCAATCATGCTATTTGTGGCACAACAGTCATTTTTTTTCTCCAGCAGGCTCTGATGTCAGAGAGCAGGGAAGGATGACATCCTGGCAGGCCCCTGCCTTCAGCAAATGCTCCAGCACCCAGCAGGACTGGGCTCAATCCCCGATCAGGCCCCAGGGTCCGAGTTAAGGCACACCAYGAGTAGTTTCTGACTCCTGTGAGAACGACACCAGGCTCCAGTTAACTTGTTTGCATGGATAAATGAAGCCCTGTAATCCATTGTGAAAGCTGGGTGTCAGAAAAGCACATTCTTCTTGTTTTTGGTGGAATTAGCAAATTAACGGCTGAAGGGAGTGCCATACAGCTCCATCTCAGGGAAGCGCTCCATACAAAAGCTTACTCCAAAATTAATTCCCACCGGGCTCAGACGAAAAGCTGGTTGCCAGGTCTCCAACAAAAGGAATGCATAAACAGCAGCAGTGATGCTGGGATGCAGGRCTGGTGTTCCCTACCCCCTTCCCCAAGCAGTTAGCAGATGGCACAAACCCCAGAAGGACAAACAGAGCCCCGAGCCAGCCCAGAGGGCACTCACAGCCCTGCAAACACCCAGTGGGGTGAGAGGAGGCAGGAGGTGTAACCTGGCACGGTGGTGCTGAACTCACCTGGCCCCTGGACGCTTTACTGGAATGAAAAATGCCAGTAAAGCACGAGAGGGATGTTCACCCCTGGCATGGAACAGGGGAGTGCTAAAACAATGTGGGAATTCTGCAAAAGAAAGGGAGACTTGAAGGTGCTGCCCACAAAGACAAAGCAATCAGCTGCTGGGTGGTGGAGGGAGGTGAGAAAAAAAGCTGGATAGCACTTGCTGAATTTAATATATTTTTCCACCTAATGGCTCTTTTTTTTGTCAGAAATTGCATTGGTTTCATCAAAGTTTAAACAAAAAATTAGGGAGAATTTTTTCCATTTAAGAAAAACCGTTTCAGAGGAYGCTGATGTTTCACTCACGTCGATATTTCCCTCACCATTTCAAGCTGCTTTACAACCACTATTGATGCTCGAGTAACAGAATTACCGAGGCTTTCCCTGGACCTCCAGACAGCCCTGCCCTGCCCCAATATTCAATAAGCTTTACATTATCCCACATTCCAACTATACATCGGTCTGAGATTTTTATTCCTTTTTCCCAGACCATGTAGCATCCATTTGGTAGCGAAACAAGCCRACACTTGTCAAGTGCTGATGTCACCAGCAATTCGCTGCCTGTTTTCAGAGACCTAAAAATAGCAACAACTGTAACAACGCCGAAATTCTCACATGGTAATTGGAGAACCGTATTTGAAAACGGCTTTAAAACGTCCTTCAGGGAAATCTCGAAGCCGTTTGGTTTCGTTGKAATTAGAGAGGAAAGCGGATTTTGGCAGAAGGGGTGATTGGAGGAGGCCAGGGTGCATGGSTGAGCTCGTGGGGAGTTTGGGATGCTGGGCAGAGGGCAGGGACAGCAGTGGACAGCAAGCAGGACACGCTGCCTGCCTGGCAAGGAGCCCAGGAGGTGTAAACTGAGCAACCAGAGAGCTGCAGAGGAACTGGGTGATGGAGGATGAATCCTGCACGGGGGAATGAGGGATCTCCTCCTGCGAAGGTGGGAGGGCTGGTGGGGAACGTGTGCAWGTGTGAGGTGGGGGTTTTGTGGGGTTTTTTATTCCTGGCCGTGGTGATGTAACGAGGTGTGCCTGAGRGATGAGTCAGTTTGGGAACGCGCTGAGGTGCCAAGGCATGGTGGGCTCCGAGCCTGAGGAATGCTCTCCTGAGGAGACAGAGCCCTGCTGCCCTCAGCGGTGTAAAAAATCCCTTAAATCGAGCTGGGGACAATTGCTGTGTTTCAAATGCCTCAACAATTGCTGTGCTTCAAACACCTCAACATTTGTGGGTTTAAGCTGAGAGAAGCTGGGTGTATCTGCTTGGGCAGCATTYATTTCTGTTTCTGGTGGTAAGTTCAGCTCCTGGGGACACCAGCCCTCTCAGTRCAGCCACTGCTGACCCACTTGTGGCCCAGATCTCCTTGCTGGGCGAGGCAGCAGCCAGGATCCCCTTCTGGCTCACTTGGCTCAGGGGAGCCGTGCAGGTTGATGCCAAACATCCCACCCGATGGCCCATCCAGCCCTGGGCACACCATCAGAGCCCCCCTGTCACCCCAGAGCCTGCCCTGCCTGCTGCCCACGGCCAGGGCTCCTCCTGGGGGCTCCTCCATAGCCCCTGTCCCCAGCCTGCCCCTGGATCAGGATCCTGATCCCTGTTACCTACCCCAGGTCCCAGCCAGGGTAATTTACCTCTCCTGTCAACAGAAAGCTTTCTCCTGCCGCTGTCTCCCTTGGAGCTGCTGTCTGCAGCCATGTCCTCGTTTTCTCCATGGGTTTGCGCTGATTTTCTGCAGAGAATCTGGCCTGATGGGTTAAGACAGGAGTTTTTAACACTGAGGAGTTTTTTTCTCTGCTGAGACCACTGAGCAATTTTCTTCTCCCATCTCACAGGCCGGAAAGGAAGAGATCCACTATTTTCRTTTTCCTTTCCCTCCCTGAGAGAGGTTTCTCTGGAAATGTGAGAGATGATTCAGGCTCTGCCCTGTCTCTGGGAGCTCTGCCTGCTCCCTCCACAGGTTAGGCAAAGGCAACAGGAAACTCTCCTGTGGCAGCTTGGGGGCAGAGTTGGACATTCATCCATCCATCCATCCATCCATCCATCCATCCATCCATCCATCCATCCATCCATCCATCCATCCATCCATCCATCCATCCATCCGTCCCTCCATCCAT